AACCATACAAATTATTGTTTTATTTTCCCAAATATTATCCAGGAATGTCATGGTCAAGTGCTGGTTGATAATGACTGCCATGGCCTTTAATATCGGACCAGTATTTGCCCTGGGAGTAGATAGTGTTCTCAGTATTGAGTCCCAACCAATGTGATTGAAAGAAGAGCAATTGGAGAGAGCGAGTGCGTGTGTGTGAGAGAGAAAGAGGGGCAAAAACTCCATATTGGTAGAAATAGGAATTGAAAAGTAGTCCATGAACGGGTGATTTAAAAAACGTCAGGTCGGTATAGAATTGCTCGGTTTGATCTGGGAAGCACAGCAAATTTCGCGCTAGCCTAGCCGTTGTTTCTTATAAGAAAACTGATATGCGATAGCGCAATGGCTTTCACGCTAGATCATTCACCCCGTACGGATTTTTCAATATATAAGAAATCATCCTGGTTTAGAAGAGAACCAACGATTTACTATGGTAAAACGGCGTTTTGCTACAGTAAAAATACTTATTCATCGGTCTGGACCGGTTTATGGCTGGTTCACTGTTTTTACACGTGTTTTTTCTCCGATTCACTATTTTTTCCACACAGTAAAACCACGGACCAACCCGCCAATTCTCCGATCTGGAGTGGTTTCTGCAATGCCCCATATGAGTCATTGATTCGTTTTTTAAATAACTGCTATGAACGGTTAAAATTTTTTCTTCGAAAGATTATATTTTTAGCTTTAAACTTTCTTATCCTTTTTACATGTTAATGATCTGTCTGTTAGAAATATATTTATCTAAAAAAATTAGGTCCAAATTCCATCTAAAAAATAGATAAGAAGGAGGGGCCGTATATCAACATGTAAGTCCTAGGACTAATAGAAACCGTCAATCAGAAAAGGAGGTGCTTGAGTGAAGAGATAGATGGCAACACTCACTAGTCACCAAGAGAATCAAGGTTCGAATCTGAGTTGGGGGGAGTGCATGGTAATAGTACTCTAGATCAATCAATATCACACCCTCATGGCATGCTCAAAAAAGGCATATTCGGAGAAAGAGAGAGAGAGGGCACTAACGCATGCGGTGTCGGTTCTTCGCAATTATGCGGCAACCAGAAAATAATTATTTCCAAAAGAAAATAAATTCAACAAAATAAATTTCTTCGAGCAACATTGCTAAAATGGGAATGGTAAAAAGAAAAGGAAAAATAAGGCATGGATGTAAATAAAGCAATAATTAGTGAGAGGAAATTGTGGTGTGATTGCAACCGGAAGGTTAGTCTCCAAGATGAAGGGGAAACTTGAGAGTAGAGAGATTGAGGACCTATTTGATTATTCAAAGTTTCAGTTTTGGAAGTTGAAAGTTTCAAATTTTTTTGTTGTAATTTCTTGTTCCCTACAAAATGGGCTTTAGGAAGTTCTAGGTTCTCAAAATATGAAAGCTTGTGGCTTCCATTCTTTATAGAAGTTTGTATATCAATTTGAATTTTTTGGCTCGTTCATCTTCTCACTCTAATTGTCCCCTTAGAACTTGGATTGCACCTCTAGAAACTTGCCTCAAACTTAATTTTGATGGCAGCTCATTTGGAAATCCAAAGCTTACAGGTATTAGTGGGTTTCTTCGCAATAATTTTGGATCATTTCTTTTTTCTCATTTGGGTCCTTGTGGCTCTACAACAGCCAATAATGCTGAATTGGCTGCTCTCCTTCAAGGTCTTCATATTATCATTGATAGGAGTTTCATTGGTGATATTATAATTGAAAGGAATTTCCTGAATGTTATCTAGTGGTGTAAAAAAGAACAAAAGATCCATTGGTCTTATTTACTATTTGGATAAAAATTTAAGACCCATATGTCTGGTTTAATTTGAAGATAAACTTTGGTTACACCATACGTGAAGCCAATGACGTTGCTGATGGACTAGCTAAACATGATGTTTCTCTTCCTTTTTTGCAAGTTTCTAACAATTTGATTCAATCTTTATAATCTCATGCTCTTGAAGCATTGCTTTAATAAAAGTTCATAGCATTTGTCAAAAAAACTATAAAATTTTTTTGGGAAATCTGCCTATCTCCTTTTTTTATTTTGGTCTTTACTGTCGCTCTCTCTAAACCCTCTCTTTAACGATACCCTTTCTCTCTCTAACCATGTTTGTCCTATCTCTATCTCTTTTGTCTCTAACAATGTCATTTATCTCTCTAAATTATGTGCCCTTTCCCATCGAAACCATTCCGTCTAACTCTTCCATCTCTAATAGTGCCCTCTCTATCTAACTCTCTCTAATCATCCCCATTTTCACTCTCAACTCGTGCTTTTGTCTTTCTAACTCCATTTTCTTTCCCTAAAATGTGTCATTTTCTCTCTCTAACTCCCATATCTAACTTTCTCCTTTTTCTCGCTAGCCCTTCCTTTTTTTTTGTCTTTTACTCATTTTCTCTCTCTAAATGTGTATGATATCTCTCTAACTCCTTTTTCTCTCTAACTGTGCTCTATCTCTCTCTAGCCCTTCCTTATCTCTCTCTTTTTGAAATTGTGACGCTTTGTTTGACCACTATGAAACATGATCTCCATATTTGAGAATTTCCCTGATGTTATCAAACGAAAATACGTCAAGGCTTCCAAATTTCAAAAGTTCTAGCTTTCAGGAACCTTGAACTTCCAAGTTCCAAGGTATCCCTAGCTTCCATCATCAAACATGGCAAAGAGAGGATTGGATGGTCATTGCTTACCTAAGGCCAACAACTCTACCAAAACGATTGAAGAAATTTACATAAAGTGTCAACCTTATAATATATAATGCACACCTCAAAAATCCACAAAACATGTGGTTCTGATGCTGCATAACCTCTAATTGATCATCTTGGGTTCAGATGTATGGATATAAAAAAAAAAAAAGGAAACAAAGTCTTGAAAATAGTACATCTTGGAGTGCATTATTTGGACCATTTATTTTCAATATTCTCAAGTATTTATAGATCTACTTGGTCTACACTATTTTTAAAGCTTTAAATTTGAACATTAAGGAGATAAATAATTTTTTAAGCCATCACAAAATTTTCCCATACAAAAATTACATCATTTTAGAATAATTTAGGAGGGCACTTTACTTAAATTGTTTAAGATTGATGCCTAGCACAAACCACACCCTTTCTTTTTAGGGTGGGGTTGGTACAAGGCCGAGGCCCTAAACAATCAAAGTAGGGCACACTTTGAAATAGTGCTAAAATTTATTGTTTCAGTATTAGAAATCTTAGTGATGGACTGAAAATTTATTTTCATCTTTATTGATTTTATTTAACGTTAACAAATAGTATCAAATAGTATAGTTCGCAGTCTAGATAATATGTTTCAAGATGCACCATTTTCATGACTTGAAATCCATTTTTTCTCATGTCATACATATTGAGGCTGAGATGATCAACATAAGAGTTTTCAACATCAAAACAATCTTTTCTAATGAATTTTTGAAGTGCACTTTATTTTTATTGTTTAGGACCTCATCCTTACCTGAACTTTTTCCTTCTTTTCGAAGTGGTCCCTCTCTTATCTCTTAAATGGAATTGAGCCGCGAGGGGAAAGGGCAGCTTTATTACCGAATTTTGGCCCGTTGAAACGGCATAAAGTTTAGACATCGAAATATGAATTCTAAACTTTAGACATAGAGAATTGTAATGATTATGCTAAACTTCAAATATGAATGGTGCCGAAGTTAAAAGATTATCAGGGTTTAGAGGGAGAAAGAGATTGAGTTTACAAAGAGAAAGAGATTGATTGCAATCCAAAAGTTAAATTTCATATACTAGGTGAGCGTAATGCCAAAGATTGTGACGGTTTAGAGCATTGTTTCGGTTCAATTTTACGAACACTGGCATAGAGAGAGCCAAAAGGTAATTAGGATTAGAGACAGAAAGAGATCAAGTTCACATAAAGAAAAAGATTGATCAGGTTAAACTTAAAAGACTTGGGGAGCATGATGCCATCTGTTAGAGAGAGAGAGAGAGAGAGAGAGAGGAGGAGTGTCTAGTAAGTAAACGTTTGTTGTCGTTGAACGTAAACGGACGACGGACCCAACCCATACAACTACTATACTACTAACGTAACCTAAAAACCTAAACCCTACTTACTC